AGAGCGCAGTAAAATCGACACAGTTATTTAAATAGTAGGTGATGAATTAGAGTCTTCGAGTAAAAAATGTATACACTTAAGGCCCCCACGAATTAGTTGAGCTGGAATTGACCACATAAAAATTGCTACCAAAGAAAAAGTCTCAAAAGATCTGCAGTGTTAACTATTCACCTGGGATATAAAACGATTGGCATCATCCTAGTACGGGATATGCAAAGGACGGGGCATTTCTCAAACACATACGGCGCTAACTTTCATCAATAAAGGAATGTAACGTAAATGTTTTGGGTGTAACGGAGAGAGACACCGCGACCTAGAAGATATTTTGTATCCCTGTGATGGTTGCTAACCCTGACGGCACAAGATATTATTAGCCTCCCTTCTAAATGGTAAAAGGTTCTTGGTATACGCTTTCCTAACCTTAAGGGCATCGACTTTGGAAGAACTAAAGCATTGCAGTCTTAGTCTGGCCAATGTCGGACAATCACACATAATGTGTTCCGACGTCCCCTCTTCTTCAATCCGGTGCATGTGAGAGCGTAGATGATTTTTGCCCGTCAGATAGCCAACAAGAAACTTGAGCCGATATCTGTTCAGCCAAATTTCTGGCCTGTCTAAGGCGCCCTCCCTCTTCCGAGTACTTACTGCGTTCTGAGTTTACCCACGATTCTATTTCAAGGTTCGAGGAGGACGGGCGATGAGCGTAAAGGAAAGGTAATTCGTAAAATCAGCTGATATGGTATGCACGTCCCGTTGATGGCGAAACGCGACGCGTGGCGATACCAAAGCGCGATTCGAAAGGCGGTTTTTTTTTAGCGGCGTAGAACCCAAAATTGAAATAAAATAATGACATTATATAACATCTATCTGAAAATTGACTTTATTAGAAACTATCGATAGTCGGCATCATAGATCGATGTGCTATGGACACTTTCTTGTTTGAATATAATTTCGGCATGGCTCGGATGTAACGCATTCTGTAAGTTCAATATTCGACCACATGAATTAATATACTTAAGATGAACGTTGTGGACTTCCCTTATTAATAATAAAAGCTTACAAACACAGTTTAGTTAGTGAATATTCTCTGAAAACTTGGGCATTGCATAAAAAACTTCGCTACAATGGGAGTATTCTCTGAGCCTTGCAAAGCCCTTGCACGCTGCACGGATTGCAAAGCTGTCTTATACGAAAACCGGTTTTTGCCGTGCAATCTGTGCACCGTGCAAGGGCTTTGCAAGACTCAGAGAATACCCCTAATGTGTTTTCGATATAATGGGTTCCCAGACTGGCCTAATAACTAAACAAAATGTTGGGATAAAACTGTTGGTTGAATTTCAGTTGATTTTATGCATTTTTTAGAGAAAATAAATACGATTATTATTTTTTTTTTTCAAAATTACTTTAACTTTATTAATGTTGTTGTTTTCACCGCTGTTGGAATATATAGTATGTATTATGTTTATGCGGTTATTTGTACTTCTCGTTATTGTGAAGTACTATACATCAAACAAGAACATGTAACTCATTATTTAGGCAAAGATTTTTTATGATAAGCATTTAGTAACAACTTTTTTTCAATCGATTGCTTAGTAAGTATTGGAGGTGACCAAGTTTTTGAAGGCAGGCAAAATTGTTTATAAATTGATAAAAAATAACTGCATATAAGAAGTTTCAGATTAATGGTGGCCCCTTGGAGTCTAAAGGATGCCCACGAAAACCTTGCTCGTGAGCTGGAGTTGCAAATGCTAAAACAAAATTTTAAAACGTTAAGGCTTAGGCTAGAGAATAGAGCGCGAGCGATTATTCACCATTTGCCTTTTTTGCCGATTCTTGGCCGATCATTTGAACTTTATTTTCATATGTACATATGCACCTTATTCCAGGTAAAATCCACTTTTCTTGCTTCAGATTTTTTTAATTCGAATTTAGTTCCCTGTATTAATTTTTTATTTGTTTTGATCATTGTCTTTTTTTGTTCAAATTTACTCAGAGAAAACGCAAGAAAGGTTCTTCTTTTTGCATTGTAATACCAAATTATTTATTAAAAACGTAACTTTTAAGATCTTTTACATATCGCACACCGTCTTCAAACGAGGCACAACTAAAAAAAAACTGTTGGCCAATTTTTTTTTTTTGCATAAATGAATTCGTAGTATTTTTCTTAAAGATAATGCAAATATTTTTTTCTTCATGATTATATTCTTACTAGAAAAAGTGTGTGTATCAATTGCGTTGACCGTACCGTAAAAAAAGTTCGTTGCACACCCCTGAGTCTAAAGTATAAAGCAATTCGATATATCAAACTTTAAGATCCGACGATTTATAATAGTGGTTATCATAACTATATGACACCCACATAGCGACAACTTTTTTTATTAAATATTTAATTTTAGTTATTTTTCTATAAAGGAAGTTCTTTCTGTAACAAAACCCATATACATAAATACAAGTTTGAACCTTTGCACACTTTGTGAAAGTTTGAACAAAATAGCGTTGATTTTTGCAATTTTTTTATGACGGTATTTTGGATGTTTGTGCTACAACAAAAAATTTTCTTTTAGAAATTTTTTGTTAGTTGCTTCATTTCGGCCACTGGATTGCATTTTTTTATTCGTTACCTGATTTCGGGGCTATTGGATTACAGTTCCAAATTGCTAGTCATTTGCAATACTTTGCATATTTTGTACTCTGGATAGTTCTTTTTTTTTTGTTTAAAATGGAATTTTTTATAAATGACTAGCAAACTAGTAAAAATTCTACCTTGCATCTATTAGATCTAGATTAGCGTGCGTCACCCTCCATAAAAAAAAAAAAAAAAAAATGATACTGCTTTTCCATCGGAATTATACAAATTAAATATTATAATTTTTTGTTTTCATAAATAAAACACCTTATGGGATAGAAGAGTTTAAGCATAAAAGGTCTGCATAAAAATATTTAAAAATTCAATCAACGGAATCAAAAAAAGAAGACAAAAGTCGGCCCGATTTTTTTTTTTGCAGCAGTGTCATAGCCTTTATCCACCAAAGGCTTAACTGCAGTTAAGAGCTTATATAAGTTCGAATAATTTTAACATGGTAAAAGATCTACTTCTTAGTTTTTGATCTGTTCCTTTCGTTTACTTGTACTTAGTATGAGCAATTACCGCCTTTGAGTTGTAATCTCCTCTTTCCAATAGGCATAAACTGCAGTTAAGACTTGGTGGAAATGATCTATTAAAATGTATTAAATTTTACAAATTCCTGTGGAAAAACTTAAATTTTTTATGAGGCCCCCTAATGTACATAGATACATATTGAATACACTAGATATAAGGCTTTAAGCTTTATAATATGCATCTTTCCCTATAAATTTCCGGAATTTATTGACATTTTGTAAATATTTTATAAACTGCTGAAGTATTAATTAAATTAATAATAAAACAAGTATTTTAATTATAAAGAAATGCACGCAAATATTGTTTTAGAAGTTCATTATTCATGAAAGACTGCAAAAATCCCTAATTAGTCAAGAATAACAGGAAAGACTAATGACTTAATTTTGCAGTCTTTAGTCAAATATGTGATTCATTGGCTGCAGTTAAAAGTGTAAGTAAATGAATTTGACTGCAGCGATTTGAAATCACTTTATTGCTTTATAATTTTCTTACATCCATAAAAAAAAAATATTAAAAATAAAAAATTGTAAGAATTTATCAATATGTGGGTGTCGTGTAGTCATGATAAGCACCAAAAGCTTGTTCCAGCTCCATAATAACACAGCTCTGCCGTCAACCTTAGAAAAATTAATAGGCTGCAAAGAAGGAAAAACTTTGGTGACGCACCACGCAAAAAAATAAATCATATTAATGTTAAAATAAATCTGATATCATTTATGTGTTATATGTTATACGTATGTATGTATGTATGTATGTATCTATTTTATTCAATCATAGTTTTCTAATTCAAATTAATTAAAATAAAAAAAGTATTCCGTATGAAACTAAATAAAGGTACATTAGTTAATAAACTAAACAAACATTTACAAATTAAAGTTTTAGCGTATGTAAAAAAGGAAAATCAATTTTTAAAATCGTCGCTTTGAAAAAAATCTTTGAGGAGTAAATATCAAATGGAGCGCAACAATGCGACTAGCGCGTCGAACCCAATGAACGCTTTCGTATGCTTCATCATTTCTTTTTGTTTATTTATTTATTTTAAACGCTTCCGAGGCGTCTGCCGATGCTTTATAAGTGCATACTAAATTCGCCAGATTCTAGTCGGTATCATCTTGCTGTCGTTGACAGTCACATTTGGGCATTTGTTCCGACTCCTCCTCCGAGTAGTCCTCATCGTGTGTGTGCGTCACGCTTTGCGGTGTTGGCGGACGCGTATGCGGCACTGTGGAATTGGTTGTACCAGCCGAATTCATTGACTGCAAAAGAGTAAAATGCATTTATTGGGTTTAATTTGTTAGCAAAAAGTACATTAAAAATTTTAACTTAGGCAGAATAAAGCTAAGATAAGAAATACGAATGCGCGCCAATTTAACAAGTTTTGGCTATTTTTCTTTTGTTTATTTAATTTTTATTATATTTATACACAAGTATACCTCACTATTTAGCAAAACCCATGTAAGTGAAAATTTCCAACTTTTCGCTACAAAAATACTCAAACATCAATATATTCAAGGAAGCCTGGAATCGGCATTCCACCAAATTTCTTATCTTTCGACCTCGGTAGCCAATGTCAATAAACAACATTCACTAACCTTAATTTCCTCAGCAAGCTTCTCAATTTCTTCGTCTTTGCAATCCGCACGTTCGAAGTTCGCCATGGCTTCCTGCGCCTTCTCGGTAGGTGATGAAATCGTGCTTAGCGCACCACCATCCACACTTTCGTTCTTGCTGCGTGCACGTTGTATAGGCGGTGCCTCCATGTGGAATCGTTGCTCATGCGTTACTGTAGATTCGTGCGGCAGCAGCATAGCCGGTGCACGGAACATATACGAAAATGGATAATAATAGAGATTGAGGAAAGTTGCCGCATACAAGTCGGCATATCTGGATACTTGACTGGAGAAGAATGTTTGTCGGGAACCGGAACGGAATAGTGAGCCCATCATGCCGTAAGCCATGTCCATTTTATGGGTGACATCACGTATGCTTGAACGCAATTTTGAAATGTCCGGCTTCTCTTTAGCGCTCGAGTCCAGATTTCTGTGTGTTATTAATAGAGAGTAGTTTTGTAAATATTTGCGATATTTCTTCGAATTTGTTTTTTTTTTTTTCGTTTACTTACTTGTACATATCACCCAACATAACATCCAATTGCTGTAACTCAGCAAAATACTGACACTTATCTGTCCATACATGCAATTCCTGCACCAGCTCTGGTACAATCAGGAATGTACGCCAACCACGTATCTTCTTCGACTTCAGAATATCACCAAAAATGTGATCACCGACATAGAGGACATCCTTGCCCTTGGCATTGATGAAGGAAGTGAACACCTCACATGAGCCACCGGAATAGACTTTGCCCGGCTGCAGTGGACCCATGTGTGTGCCGATTCTCAAGGCACCCGTTTGTGTGTCCACTTGCCGGAGAATTGTACCTTCGCCGAAGAAGAGTGGTTTCGCTGCATCCACCACAATGACATCGAAGTAGGTTTTCCAATTGCGATGTGGCTCGTCGGGTCTCGCGCCNAACTTGCCGGAGAATTGTACCTTCGCCGAAGAAGAGTGGTTTCGCTGCATCCACTACAATTACATCGAAGTAGGTTTTCCAATTGCGATGTGGCTCGTCGGGTCTCGCGCCATGCTCGAAATCGAATAAATACGACATAATGATGTTGGTGTATTTGTAATCGCTGTTGGTGAGTAAGAAGACCTTGGCACCAGATTCGCGTATGCGCGACAGCACCATGGGTAGACGGGGATCCTTTTTAACGTAGTAATCCAAGTTCTGCGCAGAAAGCATAGAAAAAAATAAATTGAAGAGATTTTGCAAAGAGTATAGGAGCAGCATATGGACTTACCTCGATTGTCTTCTGTTTTAGATTGCCTTTTATATGTACAAAATCGATAGCACGTCGTACATCTTGGAAAATCGATCTGAAGGACATGAAGAGCTCGCCTGCCTTGACACCAGTTTTTTCGCTGAAAAAGACGAACAAAAAGAAAAATTAATGTAAACGTTTTAAGCCAATGAATTTAAAATTTAATCTGGCTCGTTTTTTGGCTTTAAAACAATTCTATTAAATTAGCGCACATTTACAATTCAATTAAGGAAATATTTTAATGCGCTAAATATTCCTGTCTTAACTTAACTGACGTAAATGTGAGTTGGGCAAATTGCCATATTTTGCGCTCAACGACTGACTTAGCAGCTAGTGCGTTGGCGGAAGCAAACGATTCTTACGTCCTGTTCGTGAAAACTTCATTAGTTATTTTAACAACTTTAGCGGGACTTTTTAGACACAAGAAGATATGTGCGTATGGTTCGGCGGTTATTTGCTTTTGCATTCTTAAAATGTTACTTCATTAATACTCCTCTCGGTTGCGAATATTTTTATACCCGAGCGCACTTGTGCACAAGGTAATTTTCAGGCACGTTCTGTAATTCACTTCCCAAAAGCACTCGGAAGCGAATGGCAGAACCTACCTGTATAACTTTGTTCTAGGTCTGGGAGTTCTATCTGGTTTTCTTGAATATCCGAATACTTGAATATCAGATTGAAAAATTGGAATATCAGTATATTAACTGGATATCCGAATAGCAAAATTAATGTATATTAACCGAATATCAGGATATGAACCCTACTTTGTTCGCATACCAAAATGCTCAAAATGAAGAGATAGTCGATTTGCCCATCCGTTTTACTGAAGGTGTTTGGAGAACATTACAAATCAAAATACATATACATATTTTTTCAATAACACAGGATCTAAGAACGAGGCATGCTGACCTCGGATATGAAGTCCGTTCTCTCAAGTTGAGAAAGAGAAATTTTTTATTGCAAAACAGTCCAATTTTTGTTGAAATTTTTGGTTGGTTTTTAAGTGGAGATTCAGTTAAGATTAGAAAACAGTAATCCGGTTAAACAACTTAAAGCAAGCATTATGCCCAAAGCAGGCAGCGCACGACACGTAAATCCAAACAACTTTGGCCCAAAAGGCTTTCTTCATCCCTGTTGAAGACTCCCGAACGATAACAGACACGTACGCATAAAGCCACCACACATCCAACACAGACAGCAATGCGAAAATTGAGCAGTACCGGGAGTAAAGGAGGGAAGATAAACGAATTTTTAAGAGAAGGAAAAGAAAGGCAGGAAAGCGTGAGTATGAAGAGCTTGAGATGTGGGCAGGCAGGAACGGGCTCGAAAATTCTAATGGACAATAAGGCAGCAAACAAATAGTTTTAAGACCGGAACGAGTTTCTGCGAATACGAAGACGGAAATAGGGCAAAAGACGTCCAGAGAATTATTGAGATAAGGAGACAACACTTCCCACCGCTTTCGAAGAAGAACCCATAGCAATGCATAGGAACCAAACTCACGTCCCTATACTCGATCAAGACGAGGTCAGCGCAGAGAAAATGCGGATCTGACGGTATACCGGCAGAGCTTTTCAAAAGCGGTGGCGAAGAGTTAATAGGGCACTTGGGACAGGTATTAAGCGCAATTTGGCTTGAAGAATACATGTCCGAATATTGAAATCTCAGTTGCCCAATCCTCACGAATTAAGCTCCTGCTACTTGCGCTACTATTGTGGATTATGCCTTTCTAGTACCAACCACGATATTGTGTGCGATCCATATACGATTTATATCTGGTCAAGGACTGTCACCCCAGCAACACTTTTATGCTGTTACAACAACAACAACGATATTGTGTGAAAGACGAACGCCTTCATAAACCCACTGGACCTTATTAATGTGACTTCAGACCTGATATGTAAAGTCCACCGGATTTTCATGGTGCGTTATTTGCCGATTCTAAAGCCGCTTTTGATAGCATGAAAAGAAGAAGCTGCGTCTACAACGCAATGTCTAAAAAACTTAAACGACGCTATTCCGAGCTGGGAAGGGTCAACCCCCGCTGTTCAAAACCAAGCGAAGTTTTAAACAAGGCAACGGACGGTAGGGCGACTTATTCAATCTGATGAAGGAATTTTATTCACCATTCGAAATTTATTATTTCAAAAATTTATTTGACTGTTGCAGACATAAAAGCCACCGGGAATAATGGAAAGCAATAAAGAGCTACAGCAACATCAATCATGCTTAAAATTATATGTAGAATTTAATTAGCTATAAATTTCAGCTTAGCTCTAAACAAATTACAACAAAGGAATGAGTAATCGTTTTAAAACAAACTTTTGCAGCTAACAATTTCAAATACTTTCGTTAAGTACCCATCAGCCTTTACTGCAATTGCAACAGGCTTTGTATTGCTTCCAACTTACCTTATATATTCCGAACTATTAGTGAAGAAATCAACCAAACACGCCAACAAATATGTTTCAGGTAAATTGAATAGTGTATTCAAAACATAGACGCGCTTTTCATCCAGTTTCAAAAATTTATTCGGATACAACTCATAAACTTGGTGACTAAAAGTAAAAGAAATTTGAGAAAATGCATAAAATTGCTTAAAAAAAATCTCGTTTTCACATACTGTTTAAGAAATTCGAAGCCCCGCACACACACCAATATATTGCCGTAGGCGTCCACTTTCAAGAGATTGCCATAGAGTGTATCAAACCAGAGGCCACGCACCGGAAACGAGGGATCATATTCGAATTGCAGGATTTCTTTGGGATAGCCGTCATTGACCAGACACTCTTTGGCCAAATCGAAACCAAGTTGCTCATATTGTGGCGATTTGTATTCTGAAAAAAGAGAAGATATATTGGAACAAAATTAATTGAAATTAAATGAAAGTATAATGGGCAATATTCACATAGGTTTAAATTTATTGTAGTTGATTAAACATACATACATAGGTTATTGAAAACATCTACTTTTTCCTAGAAAAATTTTGATAAAATTTTAAAAGTAGTTGCTGATCGCCAGCGCTGCTTTTTCAGCGCCATGGCTAAAGGCTGAAAATATCAACAATGGCATTGTTTATATTAAACAATAATCACTTTGATTCCTTTTCAAGTTGTAATTTGGTAATATTAAACAATTTTTGGTTGACCTTTCTCTCATCGAGAGGNTGAATTTGGTAATATTAAACAATTTTTGGTTGACCTTTCTCTCATCGAGAGGCACGGTTTCGCGATCCAAAGATAATCCCTAGTAGCGCAAGCTCTGGTTTTCCCCCAGCGTTAGCTGAGTTGATCCGATGCCCATCTTTCTATAAAAAAACTCCACAAATTGTCAAGGAAGCTTCCACTCTCTCTTCTCTTGCCGATATTGCCTCAAGGCTGCCGTCTCTGGCCAGTTCCTCTGCCGCACAGTTTCCTGCGATATCATTATGTTCTGGCACCCATATAAGTCTAACATGGTAATAATCCGACGCGATAGAAAGCGAGTTAAGGCATTCCTCAACAAGCTTCGAGCGTACCGTAAGTGAGCCCTACAGAGATCTGGAAGCATAAATTTAAGGTTGATGGAGAGCTCCCTGGAAAAGACCCCCGCGTCAAGTTTCGGCTAATCCATGTAAAAGTTCACCGTTGCCTCCTTGCAACCACCGCTCTCAGTCCACTCAGCCTTGATGGGATGTGCATGGGGAACGAACTAGCTGATGTCAGGCTAGCTACGCGGATATCCATTTTATCAGGGATGGAATCGAAGCCCAAAGTCTGACTGCCGCCCATGCGATATCGACAGGTGCTATGTTAAGTATGTCGTTAAGGACCAGAGTGGTAGTGGTCCAAAGCGTCCTATTTGATTCCATATCAAACGCCTACTTTGCTAGTTATTTGAAATTGAAGGTGTACAGTTTTTTTCAGGTAGTCCTTATTACATAAATTATATAGCCGAAAACGAACAAGGGAACTATATTTATTCGGTAAAAAAAAATATTTATTTTTAACGACTTTTAACGAAAACTTATAAAAAAATACGGGCCTCCTTATTCTTGCTATTCTTTAGTTCTCTGCGTGGGCGTGGAAATATTTTTTTTTTGGACCACGTTAATGCACATACACATGTTTTCAATTAATATCTAATCAGTGACATAGACACTTACCCGCCAGAGTGTAGTCCATATCGAAGCCATAGAATTTGATATTCTCTAAGTGCAGCGACCGGTTGACAAAAATTCTGTAAATAGAAAGACGAAGGATACAAAATTACTACATATTTACACGCCTACATCAAAAAATTACTGCACAGTACATATGTAGTTATGTATGTATGTATATAATTATAATATATTACAGCAGCCGCTTAATTAAGTTGCGGTCATCTTTGCAATTAATTCGGCATTCACAATTTCAGCAGCTCATAAAAGATTTAATTAGCAAAAAAATGCTAAGAGTAGGGTTGGATTTGTCGCCTTGCAAAAAAAAAATAAAAATAAAACGATTTATAAAACTAATTTGGGACACTCTGGGAAAACGACCACATGGGTCGGCCGCATTCGAGCAATTAATGCACATACAATGAAAAATGTGTTAAAATATATCAAATTGTGAGTGAAGGGCGAAGGAAACTGTCTATAGACAGGTTTATAAAATAAATAAAAATTAACCAAGGCGAATTTATATAAGGTGGTGTTACTAGCTCAGCTGATTTTGTGTATTTGTTTCGCCGCACGGCTTCTGATATCAAATTAAAAAATTTTGTTTGAATTTCTACACACACTGTTACAGATTTCGACAGTTTATGCCGCCAAAGCATAAACAAAATACATGTAAATTTTTGTTTTTGTACTCCTGCTATCACCTTATATTAATTCGCCTTGAAATTAACTGAACATATTCGAAGAGAAATTTTGGAAGAGTTGGGGTAAAGGCAGTTAAGCAGTATGTGAAGCATTCTCGGACACACTCGATGCTATTATCCGCGCTTAAGGTGGCTACACCGAAAAGTTATACCCTTTTCTTAAAATTTGTCTAGCTTTCATGATGAACCGATGTCCTTAAACAAAAATTATAGCATTTTTTATTGCTAATACCTCAAGCGCCCACTCTTGTAGATTATGCAAAAATCAAAAATTAAATTAATTCATTAGAAGTAATGTGAGAGAAGAAGCGCTCTTTTATAACTCGCTACAGTGGTTTGCGGGATTACTTCTTCGGGAGTGCTCCATTATTAGGTACACATTTAAGAGGATGCGGAAGGTTTCTGGGAAATTATTCTGAGGAGTACCTTCGTATTACTCGCTTAGGCGATTTGTGGAATGATATTTCAGTGCGTACACCCCGATTGCTCATTTTGGAGTTTGATGGGATTACTCGTCCCCCTAGGGCATTGCATGCTAAAGAAAGTATACAAAATTACGTACTGACATGTGTATATACAGAAGCATGCGGAGCTATGGGAAATATTCGTTAAATCGCCAGGCAGTACTCACCGAGCGATCGAACGATGCGCCCAATATCTACTGGCATACCATTTACACACACATATGTATGTATGTATACGCCTGTGCAAAATTGTTTTTGAGATTTAAAATTAGTAATGCAAATGTGATGGGGTTATCATCAGCCGCCATAAGCAATTTAGTTAATCTACAAAAACAACAAGCAGAAGGTACACATTTATCTATCTACAAAAGTACTTGTATGTACATATGTGCATACATACATACATACATATGTAATAATATTGGCTTACAACACAAAATTGCATAGATTAAATGGATTAGTGTTACAAGCTCTATCTCAAAAATATTTAGTTTGGTAAGTAAAGAGGCTTTCTTCTTAATAGCGGCTACAGGCAAAGGCTTACAGGTTGCCTTGCTGAAACGTATCAATTTGAAATAAGAAAAAAATTTGGCATCAAAAATGTAGCAGTAAACTAATATCCAGCATAAGTACAACGACAACCTTAATAGCATAGACAAATGTTTTACATGTACATACATAGAAAAAAAAAATGTAAAAACACCAATAGTCAGCAGCGCCCACAAAAAGGTCAGTAAACGCTTGAATTGACATTTAAGTTAGGTGCTACCGCTATCACCGTCACCGTCGCCGTCGCCCCAATGCTCGTTCGATTCTTCCAGCGCCTCGTTAGAGTGGCCACTGATTTGCTGCTGGCCACTTGCCAAGTATTGATTGTCTAGTAAATTTGCAGTGCTTTAAATTTTTGGCAGCAAACATGTTTCCTCTGGAAATCATGCTGATGTCGAGCTTTTGACAGTGTCATGAATTTTTATTTAGAGGCTTTACATATTTACGAGCAAAGATTCGATTTAATATATGCCGCCTGCTAATGGTAGCAAAATATAATTATACAGGACCACAGTTGGACGTATGATGGGATATTGTTTTTAGAATTTGCATACAGATGAGCTTTTGTATGGATATTAACTTACAACAGTGCTTTAAAAAAGAATAGTGAATATATCGGTAATTTATGCATAATTGAAATCAAAATGAAGCTTTAGAAGATTTTGAGTAGGATTTTGTGTGCAAGAACAATTTAATTTTTACTTAAAAATTAGCATTAAACTTGAAATAATACAAATTTACTTTCCTTGGGACTTAGTAGTAGGTAACCCCGCAGGGGAATCCCGGAAGTATCTCTTCATTAAGAAAAAAGTAACATATTTTTTTCAAACAAATACAAATTTTTAAACGAAAAAGAGTATTTTTTAAATAAACTTAAACATCGAATATTTTAATATTTCATATAACTTGTATATAAGTTAGCCAAATTTGGCTTTTCTAACAGATGAAAACCCTCTTCAAAAGTATTTTAAAACAAAAACTTTCTTAAATCTCTTCCGGCTGACATTGTGGCAACCCTCTTCAACCACTTCAAAAAATTCAAATGCTCAAACTAAAGATTTTTTAACACTCGTGTCAACCCATATTTTAATATATCGTATAACNATTTTTAAGACAAAAACAACAAGCTACGGTAATTAAAAAGTTTACGAAAATGAAAAAAAAATTGACGACTTGTCTACTCTGGTCTTACCGTTTATTTAATTTAAAAAAACATCCCTGTTTTTCATTGCAGGAGGTTTGCCTGCTGAGATAGGTGTAACCGCTATTAAAAAATTGGCTATTTTTATTTTTCAGTTCTTCTTAGAATCCACCTTCATTCATTTGCTTGGTATCTCAATTTTCGCCTATCAATTTCATAATTATTTTTTAATAAACTGTCCACATGGTTCTTAAATTTTATATCTAAATACAAACTTAAGGAGGAAAATTTATAAATTCGCTCACTGTCACCTCACACCAACGTTACGGTTTTCAATGGGAAATTTATAACGTAATTAAATAATAATTTTTTATTGCCTTAGCGGTTGTTCGAAAATTTAATTCACATCGTAAATCGCATAAAAGCAACCGCTAATGGCGTTTAAATACCTTCCGCTCTCTCCTATTTGGCTTTATCAAAATATTACAGTCAAATAGATTTGTATTTCATCCACAGGAAAAAAATGAGGGGTGCGAAAGTAAAGGAAATCCAAATTAATGGAAAATATTGTTGCTTTTATTTATTTTTTTTTTATATTTTTTTTTTTTGGAGAAGAAGAAAAACCACTTTATGCCCAAAACTAAAGTCACGCTAACAACAACACAAACACAGAGCGTTAAACGGAGCAAATTGTGAAATGCGACGTTTTCACCGTAAAAAAGAGGATAAAAAGTCAAGCTGCCAGCAGTAGAAGAAAGTAGCAAAAAGGAGCGTAAATACGAATGGTTTGTAGTAAGCAGTTAAAAGTTACAAAATGAGGAATAAAAATAAGTGGCTGTACAAAGCCTGAATACAATTTCGGCCAAAATAGCGAAAATTTGCAAGGAGTAAGTGGCCAACACAATGCTCGTAACAAGGGAGAAACAAAATTTGAAAAAAAAGAAAGAAAGAAAGAAAAAATAATAATGCGAAAAAGGCAGCAGAAATTACGAGTACAAAGCCCAACTACGATCTGTCCGGTGGTATCCTATCTGAGCAGCGCACATCCACACTGTGGCAAGCATATTTTTGGCATAATTTCAAATTATGTAAGTGCACCCTCCCGCGTCGCATTTTGCTGCTGTTGCTGCTGCTGCTGCTGGCTTCATGTAGTTAACTGAAAATGACACAGCAACACGTGTATGAGAATTTTAGTAAATCGTCTTGGCCAGCCTGCAACCGACGGACATTAACAAATGTTGTTTGTGGGTGTGACATCTCTGTGGGCTGCTTGGGTGGGTGTGTGCGACCGTAAAAAAGTAGCAAATGGCAAGTGGCAGCAGAGCAAGGTTGTGGTTGCGTTTTCTTTTTCGCTTTGCTATGCCACATATCATTTGTTGTTGTCACGCTGTCATAAGCAACACGGATTCCTCACTAAATGAGCAGTATAAGCAAATCAACCAGTGAATTAGGAGTGGAAATTTTCGTAGTTGCACAGTGGTGGCCAGATACAAGTTTACTAAAGTGAAACCCCTTTCAAATTAAATGAAACCTTTTTCTGTCAAAGCGAAACCTTTTTCAAATTAAATGAAACTTTTTTCAAATTATGATTATGAAATATCATATAATGATATCAAATATCACATAATCACATAACGATCTTTGTGCGCTACTCACTTGGTGTTAAATATTTAATGCAACCATCTCCGAACTCGTGTAAGAAGTTTCACTTCAATAAATAAAAACACAAGTGGTAAACAGCACTATTTTGAATTTGTTCCAACATTATGTACATATCGAGCCCTAACCGCCAAAATAACGTAAGCGACTTTTTTTCAAAATTTTATTTTTGATGCAGAAATATTCCTAGANACTCTATTTTGAAAAATTTTTCCAACATTATGTATGTACTACATATATTATCAAGCATATTAATGAAAAGAAAAACAGCTTTTATCTGACCTCCACTGTATATATTCATAACAACGATGATACCAATGTTAGGACACGTGCTCCTTTTACAACTGCGTCANAGTCATTTTGGCGGTTAGGGCTCGATATGTACTATATATATTATCAAGCATATTAATGAAAAGAAACACAACTTTTATCTGACCTCCACTGTATATATTCATAACACAACGATGATACCAATGTTAGGACACGTGCTCCTTTTACAACTGCGTCATGGTAGTATAATGATAACAGCTGGAAGTCGGTGCTTTTCAAAAAGCTACTGATTC